GGGCTCAGGGAATCCACTCACCTCAGTCTCCCAAAGGTGCAGGATTACAGGCTGAGCCACCGAGCCCGGTTTACTGCCCTTTTAAAAGTCCTCTGTTCTCTGTCTAATCATCTCCCGCCCCCCAGACCCTGGAAATCACTGGTCTTATTGTCTCCAAAATTTTGCTTTTTCTTGGATGTCAAATAGCTGGAATCATGCACTACTTAGCCTTTTCAGACAGGCTTCTCTCATTTAGTAATGTGTATTTAACTTTCCTCCATGTTTCTTCACGACTTTATAGCTCATTTCTTTGTGGTGTTAAATAATATTTTATTTAACTGAATGTACTGCAGTTTATTTATTCATTCACCTACTGAAGGGCATCTTGGCTGATTTGAAGTTTTGGCAGTTATGAATAAAGTTGCAGGCTTTGAGTGGATGTAAGTTTTCAACTCCTTAGGGTAAATACCAAGGAGTGTAGTTGCTAGATTGTATGATAAGAGTATGTTTAGTTTTGTAAGAAACCACCAAACTGTCTTTCAAAGTGGCTGAACCATTTTGCATTCCTACTTGTAGTGAATGAGAGTTCCTGTTGCTCTGTGTCCTTGCCAGCATTTGGTGGTGTCAGTGTTCTGGGTTTTGGGCACTCTAATAGGTGTGCAATGGTGTTTCCTTATATTAATTTGAACTTCTGGATGACATATGGCATAGAGTATCTTCTCATATACTTATCTGCCATTTGTATATCTTCTTTGGTGAGGTGTCTGTTAAGGTCTTTGACCCATTTTTAAATTGGATTCCTTATTTTCTTATTGCTGAATTTTACGGGTTCTTTGTGTATTGTGAATAGCAGTCCTTTATTAGTTCTGACTTTTGCAAATATGTTTTTAAAATAAAATATCTAGTTATACCAGTACCACATGTTCAGTGATGAAAATCTGAAAAATTCACTAAAGAACAAATAAAAATCATCCATACACCTATCACCGGCAAGTAGCAATGGTTAACTTTCTGGTTGATTTTTTAAAATATATCTATTTTGGGGCACATATACTTAATACTTGTTTTTGTTGAAGATTAACACTTTACTGGAGACTTTAAATACCTTTGTTTCAAACATGTATACATTAAACATATTTTTTCTAGTATCAATTAAAAGAACTATATTTGTAAATCTATAATTTCAAGGTCATTCCAACCCACTTTTGTATTTAGCTCCAGTGTATCTCAAGTCCCGCTCACAACTCATGTGCCTCAGTGTCAGATAAGTCATGCATGTTTATGAGGGTATAGGGATTATCAAAACTAGAGACTACAGGTTTCTCCTGAAGAAATTCACATTCCGAATTTTTAAACCACCGTGTTGGCCAACCATACAAGTCTTCAGGCTCCGACCACACCACTCTGCTCTTTCCTGAAAAGCTGGTTGGTGTCTCTGCAAAAATTTTGGCCTATTTTTCTTTTACTTTTTTGTTTTTTAAATTTGGAGTGACCAAACTTTAGTTGCCTCCTCTCCAGTGCCATCACTTGCTTTTTCTTCCCTCAGATGCCCTTCCTCCACCTGTGTGACTTATTCTGTTTGGGCTGCCACAACAAAAGACTATCGAAAGGGTAGCTCATAAACCACAGAAATGGATTTCTCACAGTTCTGGAGGTTGGAAGATCAAGATCAATGCACCGCAGACACAATGTCTGTTGAGGGCCCATTTTCTGGTTCATAGATGGTGCCTTCTCACTGTGTCCTTACATGGTAGAAGGGCTGTCTTTCTAATACTTCAAGATAGACATAATTTAAAGAAATCTGGGTTGCATAGAAGTTTTATATTGCCTTCTAAGTTCTTGCTTTCCCTAGCTGAGCACCACCAGCACAGACAATACAATAAAAGCAGGTCTAGCAAAGACCTTGATACAGAACACTTGTACTTCTCCCTCTCCACTTTGGATGAAACTTAGATAGCTCGTATTACCTAAACCACTGGACAGTAGGGTGAGTCAGTCAAGTTCTTGGTGCAGTTTTTACAAGATGGAAGCAATGAAGTCAATTTTCCCTGTCCTGCTGAACCTCTACCCAACCCCAGTGTATGCCTAGAACAGCGATTTTCCCTAACAAGGTGAACTTGGGGCAAGATTTCCTTTTTATTTATTTTTTTAAAAGTACTTATTTCTGAAACTTATTGTTTTGTTAAAAAAGTTAATACGTATGAATATAACCTTATTTTTTATTTCACATCATACATTGTTTTAATTGTCTTTATTATTTTATCTTAGACAAAAAGGGCTACAGATTCAGATAATTCTATATCAGAAAGAGATTTAGAGAACGTGCTTTCCATCACTTATTAAACAGAGTAATTGAATAGTGTAAGGTTGTACTGTACTGTCACTCTGGGCTTAGTCATGAAAACAGTCATGATATGTTCTATATCAAGCAGGAAGTTCATAGAGAAATTTAGGCTTATACAAATGTGGGAAAAGTTGGAGAAGTAAAGATCTGAGGTGGCAGGATCAGAAAAACAACCTGAGCAGGGGAAGATAACCATATGTACACTGCAGCGAAGACATCTGGACACCTACCATGTCTGACCACCTTCCAAGAATAATGGCGTTTGCTTTCCTTGTGACTTCCAAGTCTTAGGTGGTTTCCTGTCATTGACAGACTGTCACCTGAATCTATAGGGAAGGGGATTTTGAGGAATATAACTCTGAACCTTAGAAGGGACTGGTGATGATGGCACCAAGTTAATCTGGTACCGTTGCCTACCTAATTCACGGCACTTGTTCATTCTGTCACTCCCATCTTTCTTGATCTTTTCCTAGACTCTAATGTATATGTCTCAGTGGTCATTAAGCAACCTTGGAGTCTTGACACTTTATACTTTTTCACTGAATCATTTTACATTGCTTTCTGTAGCTATAGACCTTTTCTGAGTTATTTTAAAATAATACTAGCAGCCGGGCTCGGTGGCTCAGCCTGTAATCCCATGCCTTGGGAGGCTGAGTTGCATGGATTGCTTGAGCCCGTGAGTTCGAGACCCACCTGGGCAGGCGAGACCTCATCTCTACAATAAATCAAAAAATTAGCCGGGTCTGGTAGCGTGCACCTGTAGTTCCAGCTACTTGGAAGCCTGAGGTGGAAGGATCACCAGAGCCCAGCGGGTCGAGGCTGTGGTGGCCGGGAGCGGCCACTGCACTCCAGTCTGGGCAACAGAGTGAGACTCCAACTCAAAAATAATAATAATAATAATAATAAAAATAAAATAACACTAATTTTATTCCATACCTATTTCTTGTTAAACCTGAGGTAGGTTCACTCCTTAAACATTTCTTGTGTCTTATTACCTACTTGATCATAGCTCCAGGTCATTACAGCTACAAATATGAATTTCATCAATAATTTCAATTCTCAGAATTGATAAAGAGATGTATAAATAAAGACTGCATGAATAATTATTCTGAAATACTGAGAAATCTCAATGTTTGCATTTGCTGGATTCTTTGAGACCAAAGTCCAAAGTGAGATTACAGAACAGAATCTTGTTTTGCAAATTGATAGAGGAAATTTTTTTAAATTTTAGAGATGTGAGGTATAATTCAGGGTTAGATATATAAATGTTCATTATGCAGGTACCCTTGTTGATGAGGTGTGTCCCCCTCCCCTGGCAGTTTCTCTCAACTTCCAATCCCAAACCCCCTCCCCTGGCAGTTTCTCACTACTGCCAACCCCTTTATTATAGTATTATGAGCGAGAACATGTGGTACTCAGTTCTTTGTTTCTGTGATAGATCACTGAGTATGATAGACTCTAAATCCATCCAGGTTGCTGCAAAGTCCATATGTTTGTCCTTTATGGCTGCATAATATTCCATTGTGTACATGCTGCCCATCAAAACTGGATGGGATAAAAAAATGTAGAGAAAATATTGATGTGGTACTTAACCTACTGGTCTGAACCCAGTGAGCTAAACTCTGTCTGTCCGTGGTTAAAACTGTTCATAAATAACCACCCTTATATAACTCCCTCTTTACCCACTCACCTGTAAATCGTTTGAAAATCTCCCATGACCACGCAGATGATGAATCACTGAAACTCTGCTCAGTACAGTATTTTTACTTGTGATTATCCATTGCTTTCCAAGTGACTCATTAGAAAAACTTGTCCAATTTGGGTATGCACAGTTTGAATCCTAAGTGATTGAGAAGTTTGATTTGATTTACAGAGAAATTGAGTAGTGAATAATCATATTCTGGTGAGTATTCTTCCTTTTAGTAGAAGGCTTTATAAAATTTAAAAATTGATCAAAATTTGTGAACTGAATGCATTTTCTTGCGAACAGTTTTAGTTATGATTGAAATATAAATTATGTACATATGAATAATTTGTTTATATCTTTTTTGATCAATAATTATTCAGGTTATATTAGTGTTATGATGTGGAATTAAATGCTAGCAGCCCAAAATTATGTAATTATATTTGGTCTCAATACAAAAAAGTTTGGCATGTAAAGATGATACTTGATGTTAGTTGTAAAATAACATCAGTAAGTAGGTGGCTAATACTCACTGGTCCACTATTTCTTGTAAGATAGTTAAGTTTTAAACAATTGTTTTCTAAACATGTCAGGCAAGCCAAATATTAGATGCAGGGGTGGCTTTGAATTCAGAATTATATTCAGAGTGTCATGTGAGATCATCAGATTTACTAAAGAATTATTTTGGGCTTTAAGACTTCATGTGCTCTTTAAACAGAGCAGACAGCATGTAGATTATTCAGTGATACCTGAAAATATCCACCTTGACAGGTAAATATTGGGAAGATGGATTCACCCATTGAAAAGTGGAACCTAATAATTGGCAACTTGGCTTTAAAACAGGTAAGTGGTATATATGTTTGTTTTCAGATCTTGGCTTTGCGGATATTGAGTATTACCTGTAAGATTGGTATAAATTTTAGTACTATGACTTTACCATTTAATTGTTTCAGAAAACACCAAAACAATAATTTAATACTTTGAAAAATAAATGGAATAAATGAATACTCAGGACTTCTGAAAGCTATTCTTTCTCCAAAAATGGATCACATTTTTTTAAATATGAAAAATATGTAATATTTTTAATGTAATGCTTTTTATCATGTGTGATAGAATTAGAATTTGTGTTAATTTGATACAAATATTTAACACTTAATTGCTTAAGTGTTATTTTTCTGCTTCATTTTTTTAAGTAAATCATCTGCTTAATTGAACTGAGCTCTTTTCTCTATATTATGGGTAGCCATTTGTCTAAGTTGAGTTTTCATTAATTTTTTAATGTTACTAGTGTTACTATAAACAAATACATTAAATTACTGATTACATATGCACTAAGCCATGGATTGTGTATAATCTACATCTCTTTCTAATCTCAGGTGAGTGTCTCTTCTTCTCTCCCTCTACCCTCTTCAATCTCCAAGACAGAAGACTGCAGCTACCCCCAGCAATTCTCTAGCTAGTGTGAGCTTAGGGAATGCACACGGATTTTGATGTTAGCTTAACTAGGACATATTGTTGAGAACATGGTTGCAAGAACGTAATTTCATGTTATGGATTTCAAGGACAAAAAAGTAAAGGAATTTTTTGAACATCTGTGCAACTGCCTCAAAGATCAGAGGTTTGGAAATAAGAACAACTGGGATCTAACCTCAGCTCTAATATTAACCAGCTCTATAACCTTTGTTAATTTGCTTGACCTTTCTGGACTTCACTTTCCTTTTAATTCACAGTATTGCATTATATATGTCTAAGATCCTTTTAGCTTGAAATTGTAGGAATCTATGCAGGGGTAATAATCAAAATATTTAACAACTAGTGGGATACTATAAATAATATGTAAACATAAAGATTTGAAATGGATTTTATTATTTATTTATTTACTTATTTATTTTTGAATCAGGGTCTCACTCTGTGGCCCAGGCTGGAGTCCAGTGGCACGATTGACTCACCACAGCCTCAACCTCTTGGGCTCAGGCAATCCTTCTGCCTCAGCCTCCCTCCCGAGTAGCTGGAACTGCAGGCATGTGCCACCACACTTGAATAATTTTTTTAATTTTTGTAGAGATGAGGTCCTCTTATGTTGCCCAGTCTGATCTTGAACTTCCGAGCTCAAGCAGTCTTCCCTCCTCAGCTTCTCAGAGTGTTGAGATTATAGGCATGAGCCACCATACCCAGCCTCATTTTATTCTTTAAATACTCTAAAGTCTTACAAAGTAATATGTTGTAGTGTCAATTATTTATCACATCATTCTAATGATTTCCATCTCAGCTTTTGATTTTTCTCCCACTTTTAGTCTTCACCCTTCCCTTGTCATCCTGTCTCCCTGCAAATGTTGGTCAGGATGAGAGTCTGACGTGACTGGGGATTTGCTGACCCTAGTTGCCTTAGCCGGAAGTCTGTGTCTTTATCTGCCTCACTCACCAAGCACATATGATGAACAGGGAATCAGGACACAATTGGTGCCAGCCAATGTGAACTAAGCCATAGGTTGGAGCCCAGTTACCAGCAGACAAAACGAGCAGAAGATGGAAGGATGGGCGTGAGGATGGAGGGACTTTGGCTAAAGCTGGCAAAGGGCCGATGACTGTGGGAGGGGAGTGGGGTGGACTGCCATAAGGCCTCTCTGCCTGGAGGCTGGCTGTGGAGGGTGGAGGTGGGGAAGAGTGGAGGTGACAGAGGGGCTCACGCTTTCACTTACTGTGGGGTATCAAATGGGGTCCCAGACGGATTACCTGTCACAGATTTCTTCACAATTGTGTAGAACAGCCACCTTGACAGTTGCACAGGTAGTCAAATAAAGCAAAGCCCCAGTCCCATCTCAGGAGCCTGGCCTCCCCAGGGGATGTGTCCTGTACCAACATCTGTTCAGGCCTGCAGCTCCCATGAGTCTCCCCAGCTGCTCCTTGAACCCAGATTTTGCTTTATCTTTGGTACAATTAGTCTTTTTCAATGAGTCATTCTCTTGCTGGTTTATAGTACAGGACATTCTTATCTCAGCTGTGTGCTTTCCTGTCTTTGAAATAGATGTGCGCACACACACACATACACACACACACATTCCATAATGTCTGCAGCAGGCTCCCCAGCTTGTGATCCAGTGTCAGGCCAGGAAAAACTTGGAATTGCAGTGCTAGTATTTATATTATGTATTAATTCTACTGCTCTAAAGTACTATTATGTTCTTTACTAACCAGTATGAAAAGACTGAAATATTCTGACAATGGTTGCAGCCATAGTGGTGCTTCCAGCTTGAATCTCAGCTCTGAATTTGCAGGTGACTGGCAGGGTCTGTAACAAAAGACCATGGGGCTGGAATCCAGACTATCTGGACTCTGCAGTCCTGGTTCTTCTGTTAATACCATATGACAGGGTCAGGCAACTTCAGAGATTTTTCACTGAAGATTTTTCACTGCTGGGGTCCTGGATTCCAGCACATGGGTTTGTGTCAGAGAGTTTGTGGATGCCAAGACATTCTACTCCAAATATTGGGTGCCCCTGTGTGTTCCTAGAGGAAAGGATCTCTATTTTCTGGAGTTATTTCCAGATGGTCAAAGGAGCCCATGACACAAACAGCCAAGCATCAGTGGGATGAATGATTCCCTTGGGGTTTTTTTCAGCTCTGACATGCTAGTAATCTGAGTCCAAGAGTTTGCAGTCAGTGTTGCTTCCCTTAGTTGCAAGATTTTTTTGTGTTTTGTTGTTGTATGTTTGTGTATGTGTGTGTTTGTTTTGGAGTCAGGGTCTCACTCTGTCATCCAGGCTGGAGTGCGTCATCACAGCCTCAGCCTCCTGGGCTCAGCCGATCCTTCTGCCTCAGCCTCCAGGGTAGCTGGGACTGCAGGCACCTGCCACCACACCTGGCTAATTTTTACATTTTTGTAGGGACAAGGTCTTGTTATATCTCCCAGGCTGGTCTTGAGCTCCTGGGCTCAAGCAGCCCTCCTGCCTCAGCCTCCCAAAGTGCTGGAATTACAGGTAGAAGCCACTGCACCTGCTGGCCTTAGTTGCAGGTTTTGCATGTTGCTTTGTGTCAAAACTGTAGAAAGTACTTTATATAGTTCTATAATTAATTTACATCTCAAAGTTGAATGTCATCATTTTCAGTTTACAGATTAGGAACTGAAATTTTCATAGCACAAATCAGGATTATGATTATTTGTGAGGTTATTTTTGAATGTCTATCTCTCCCACTGACCAAAAACCTTGTGAGTGCAGGAACTGAATCTATTTTGCCCACTGTTGTAGCACAACACCAAGCATAGCACATTGTCCTTAGTGGAACCTAAATAAATACTCATTGAATGAATGAATTGAAATAACTTGCCACAGTCTCTTGCCAACTCTGCCTCTAGAGTCAGACTTTAGATGTATGGACTGGGTACTTCTCAGTCTGAAGGTGGGACTTTCTTAGATAATCTGTGGGTTATACCATCAGTACCACGTGGGGTGCTTGTTAAAACCAGATTTCTGGCCTCCATTCCATATGTGTTGTCACCAGATCAGGGCGGTTTGAGAACTCACCAGGCGTGGTTGCGCATACCTGTAGTTCCAGCTACTTGGAATGCTGAGGCGGAAGGATCACCAGAGCCCAGCAGGTTGACGCTGGGGTGGCTGTGAGTGTGCCACTGCACTCTAGCCTGGGTGACAGAGTGAGACTCCAACTCAAAAAAAAAAAAAAAAAAAATATGGTAGTTACTCTAAAAGGTAATGTTGCTCAATTACCATATGCAATACTTTTTCAAATTTCATATGTAAAATTTACATAATCAAACATAATTTAGTTGGACTTATCTAAAAATTTTTTAGGTTCAAGCAACAGTCGTTGGCTTTCTAGCAGCCGTGGCAGCAATTATATTGGGCTGGATTCCAGAGGGAAAATATTACCTGGACCATTCCATACTCCTGTGCTCTAGCAGCGTGGCAACAGCCTTCATTGCCTCCCTTCTGCAGGGTGAGTGAACTCTTGAACATCTGGTCTGCCGTCTTTTACTTTTAAGTGATTTATTTTTCAAAATGATGACTTTTTATTTAAATGATACTTGTTAGTCATAAATACAACAGAAAAAAGTTATCTGAAAACTTAAAAAATATCTTAATTAGTCCAGGTATGTTTATATTTCATTATTTTAAAACTTGGTATAGAACAGGTTTTTCTGACGTTGTCCCCTGGCCTTAGGCAGTCTCAGATAGTTCCTGAAAATGATTGGGAAAACAGCCTAGACATTCATTTGTTCCTATAAGTTAAATTAATTGAGAAACCCCTTTCTGGAAATCATGCAGGAGATTTACTGGCTTGTCACTTGAGTAGCAACAAGTGTTCCAAGAATCCTGAGTCAAAAACAGTGCCTCTGTTAAAAATTTCTTAAGTTTCAGATTTCAAAAAGATTTCATCACTGTTTCTGTGGCATTACAAATATATCCTTATGCTTAAGACAGCATATTGTTGGCTATAGAATTTTAAAGAGCCAGAAGGTTTTAAAAATAAACTACATTAGAACTTTTTAGTTGAGTTATCTTTCTTAATATCTATTTATTTATTTATTTGAACTTTACACTAGAGAGTTAGCTTGGTTCTTTTTATTTTATAATTGCCGTCTCCTCACCCTTACATCATCAGTAAAGCTAAAAATAGAAGATTGTCACATCAAGTGATCATGCAACACAGCTAATTTTTTTTGGCTAGGTTCTGGGCATTTTTGGGAATCTTACTAAAATTAACACTTGACTTTCAAAATATTTTCAAGCATTTTGTTTTAGTACTTAAATTTTATTAGGGGTAGTTTCTTGTCTTTATATAGAAATACTAGAGCTGAATGGAGAGAACACTTGAGAACACTGGCCAAAGTAGAGAGATGTTAAGCTATTGGAAAATTAAATTTCTGGTTAAAAAAAAAAGTTACAGCATCAGCACTCTATTTCTTCAGGTTTATTTGCTTCTGTTGTTCTTTCTGATTTTGTTTCATCTAGAAAGTATTGTTTAAAATTTTTCAGTCGAACAAGTGTTTGAAATGCCTAGCCTTTTCTTTTTTTCTTTTCTTTTTTTTTTTGAGTTGGAGTCTCACTCTGTTACCCAGACTGTAGTGCAGTGGCCGCTCCCAGCCACCACAGCCTTGACCTACTGGGCTCTGGCGATCCTTCCGCCTCAGCCTTCCAAGTTGCTGGAACTACAGGCGCACACTACCATGCCTGGCTACTTTTTTGATTATTGTAGAGATGAGGGCTCGCCAAGTTGCCCAGGCGGGTCTCGAACCTGCGGGCTCAGGCAATTCACTTACCTCAGCCTCCCAAAGCGCAGGATTACAGGCTGAGCCACCGAGGCTGGCTAGCCTTTTCAAAACTATTGAAAATTTCAGTTTTTAAACTGCATTTGTTTAAAACATCTTACTTTGAATAATATGTGTTCAAATTTTATTATAACTTGACCTTTATAACCACCTTAATATATATAAAGCAGATTACAGGCTGAGCCACCGAGCCCGGCTCTTAGGCAAGAATTTAAACCCTACTTCTCTACTTAGTTTTATTGTCTATAAAATAAGTATCCTGGAATAAAACATTTAGAATCATTTTTACTCTAAAAATGTGAAATTTTGTTCATTTTTTTTCTTGTAGCCATATTTAGGTTTCCATCTTGATTTATGATTAACACATAAATAAACTAAACATTTAACATTTTCTCTGTACTGCATCCTCTTAATGAATGTGTTAGCGTGAGAACATCTATACAATTGGGTGTAGATATGTGTCATCATTTTTTCTCCCATTTGTATGATTCAAGAGAATCAAGATGTAAAAGTGTATGTACACAGTCACATTTTCCATCTTCTGTTCTCTTGTGGGTTATAGACAGAGACTGCATTTAAAGAATATCTTTTGCCGGGCTCAGTGGCTCAGCCTGTAATCTCGCACCTTTGGGAGGCTGATGCGAGTGAACTGCCTGAGCCCGCGGGTTCGAGACCCGCCTGGGCAACTTGGCGAGACCTCATCTCTACAATAAATCAAAAATCAGCCGGGCGTGTTATCGCGCGCCTGTAATTCCGGCCACTCGGAAGACTGAGGCAGAAGGATCGCGGGAGCCCAGCAGGTTGAGGCTGCGGTGGCCGGGAACGGCCACTGCACTCCAGTCTGGGTGACTGAGTGAGACTCCAACTCAAAAAAAAAAAAAAAAAAAAAGAATATCTTTTACAAAGCCTTGTGTTTTGGCCTTCAGTGTTTAAATTTTAATTATGTCCTCCTTCTTAATACTTAAGTATTCATTTTTAAATAATGAAATGAAGCAAGCATTTCTAGCTACCATATGTGAACAAATCTGCTTTTGTTGGTCTTTTTCCCAGTTGCTATGCATATAAATATGACTCACCTTTTTTTTTGATGTTTTCATACTTTGAGAGTTGAAATTAAAATCTCTGAATTTTATACACACAAATACATTATATCAGATATACCTATCGCAAAATTTTAGATTTAATGTAATTTTAGTAGCATTTGGTTCTTTAAATGGAACATTGAACTTCTTAAATCTTCTATGATTTCCATTAGGAATTTGTTGAAAGGCATTTTGCCAAAGTGTTAGAGTAAATGTTTTTCTTGCTTTAGTCAGCTTATTTAAGCAGTCTAACTGGAACTGATATGCTATTTATCTGTCCTATGTATTTTGGTATTTGGGGGACTGATTTTTTTTTTTTAAATCATAGTATAGAAAGTAATGAACATTCTTTCTTCTAGGAATAATAATGGTTGGGGTTATTGTTGGTTCAAAGAAGACTGGTATAAATCCTGATAATGTTGCTACACCCATTGCTGCTAGTTTTGGTGACCTTATAACTCTTGCCATATTGGCTTGGATCAGTCAGGGTTTGTACTCCTGTCTTGGTAAGTTGACTTGAAACTACATATTGTGTTATTTGGAGTCTTCTTTAAATATTGTTGCAGCATTGCCATGAATCCATCTGTATTAGATCTGTCATCTGTATTAGAACTGTAGATGAGACTGATTAGAACATTTGTTGTACACCTATTTTGTGTTGTGATTCTCACAAATTTTTTCTCTTCTGATAGAGTTTAAAACTTAGTAAGATGAGCATTATCATCTCTAGTTTTAGATGAGAAAACCAAGGCCCATAGAAGTTACCCAAGTTTATGCAAATACTGGTAGAAAGATTGCATACAGGTCAGTCACATACTCAGTCCTGCCCTTTCTGATGTGCAGCCATCAGGAGCCAGCCTACGGTGTTCTGTGGTGTGTGTTGAACTGCTGTCTCAGAATATGAGGTTATAGTAGTACTTGAAGTTTACCAGTTGGATGCTTTTTCCTCATCAAAAAGTAGCTTCGGGGCAGTTAACAAAAAGAAAAAAAGAATCATCATGAAAATTAGCCTGAATGCTCTGTGAAGTAGTAGCCATCTTATATTTGTAATTTCTGATAAACAGTGAAAAAGTATTTATAGAATCTAATGAATTGTTTTAGTGCAAATGTGTATTCTGGGACTACTGTTGATGGTAAATGAATGTGATTTGTAAGCAGTGGTTAAATGCTAAAAGTTGTGGCTTCTTTTTTTTTAAATTTAGTGTCAAAATAAAAAAATAAAAAGAAACTGAAACCCACAGCAATATAAGAAAAAAATATAACATAGTTTATAAGCCAAGCCAAAGGCAAGCAATTATTCATATATCCTCACATATGTTCATGGGTTCTATACAGATTTATGGTATATTTAAAAATAAATGTTAAGTACATTTAGTTTGAATAAGTTAGGTTCTTAGATATGTACTCTTGAAATAAAGGAAGGGCTTTAACCTATTATACAATCTTTGGAGATATTGAGAGTTTTGTTTAATATATAAAATTGTCTTAAGCTGTTTGCAAGTAGCATAAACACAATATTTAATAAGATTTAATATGTATGTTCAAGGAAACATTTTCTTGTTTTGAAGTTAAAGATGCATTCACTTGAAGTAAGGTATAAGACAATAAATGATCAATGACCTAAATGTAAGATCTTATTCCCAAAGGTCTTGGCTTTTTCTTGTACAATAGACAAGGAGTTAATTATATGTGTTCAGGTATATTAAGGTTAATGCTTAGCTCCCTTCTCTCCCACTCAAAAAAACACAGAAAATGACAGTTACATTACTAAATGGATCATCATAAAGCTACTCCAATTTATACTGTTGAGATGATATATGGGTTATCTTTTTTCCTTCTCTGAACTATTATACAACTTAGAAATAGATGCTGAAGTCTGAGATTGAAATATTAACTTATAGCTAGTATTAGGAAATGTTTCAATATTTTTCTCTTACTCTTTAAACCCACCCACTCACGGGTAGACAGCTGGACAACTTGTAGTCCTCACTCCATAGGAAAAAGCTGTTAGGTGTATTGGGGAAGGGAGACTGTCATCAATAGAATGGATCCCAAAAGAGAAAGCCACTTAGGGCATGAGTTAGGCATGAGCTCGTGCCCTTTCCCTCATCTTACCAATTCGAGAAATCTCTCCGATGTTGAGGAGGAGAAAAGAAAGGGAAAGAGGAGTAGCAGAGTTTGAAGGGTCTCTTTCCAATATTATTAAGAGGGCAGAAATCCTGTGGTTTTGCCCCAAAACATGGAGAGTAGTAATGGTTCTGGGATGGCTTCCCCTATAGAAAAGAAAGGTATATTATTTTCACACTTGAGTACTTTAATTATAATTAAGTCATTTGCAACACATTTCTCAGCCATTTGCTAAATATCAGGTGTCTCCTCAGTTGAAGACAGTAGAAAAAAAGAGAATGCCATTGAAGAATGTTATCATAATAAATATGACCAGTGTTATAATGATACAGGCTAAGTACTATGAGATTCTAGAAGATAAACAACTGGCGAAGAAAAAATATGCGCTGACTTAAAAAAAATTTTTTTTTCATTACACAAGTGGTAAACTCTCCTTATAAAATACTTAATCATAATGGTTTGCCATCTAAAGCTTTCAATATTCTGAATGCTATATGAGGGGAACCAAAAAAACCCCAGAATTATCTTTTGGATAAGATAATTGGAAGGCAGACCCCTTGTACTGGCTTCCTCTGCTAGGTATGTGTTCTAGGAACCCATTGACCTCAGTGTACCAGCTGGCATTGTCGTGAGAGGCTGCATTTGGCTTCAGTGAATTTTTTTTGGAGATTCTTTCAACACATTTGCCCGTTTCATGATGGATGATTTACAGATGCACCTGCCCACATTGTACTGAGTGTTCAGCAGTTTTGGACCAAAAACAACATGACCCCATACCCTACCCTTCTTTTTCACCCAATCTTGCCTGGAGCATTTTTTTTTTCCTGGATGAAAAAAGCCCTCAAGGGGAAACATTTTGCCAGTGTGGAAGAGGTGAGACCAAAAACGGCAGAAGCACTAAATAGCATCAAAATTGATGCGTTCAAAAACGGTTTTGAGCAGTGGAAAAAGCATCTTGATAGGTGTGTTGCATCAAACAAAGAATACTTTGAAGGTGACTGAAGTTTAAACATGTAAGAATTAATATACAATTTTTAAATAAATAAGTACTGTGTCTTTTTGGGTTCCCCTTCATGCAGTGATACATTAATAGCTTAACTGGATCCAGAAATAAAAAAGTAAAGTGGAATATTATTACAAACCATTATTTTGAAAAATAGTAGTATTAAATTTTGTTTAGGAGTTTCTAGGCATTTTCTTGTCTTTCAAAAGTTGGCTCAAAGTAACTCAAGATGAATTAATTAATGTTGTATCTCTTACATTTTTTTCTATATCATTGATTCCTCTAAAGGGATATATTTTACATGGGCTGCAGATCAATTCCATAGTTAATTTAACAGTTAAAGGTGCTTCTGAAGTGTTGGTGTTATGGGATTGCTAGTGTGTCTGTGTGTGAGCACTAGGGGGCCTCATAGGACCAGCAGTTGGATGCTTCATGTTTTTGTTCAAAACACAGAGATGATAAACAGGTACATTTAAATTCCAAGTCCTCATTCATGCTGGTGAAAAGCCTCGCTCTCGGAAGCAAAGTTTAATTCCTGAACTATATTGAAAAAACCTAGCAGTCTTTAGAGATAAACCGATTTCGTGATAGTTATAGGCTTTGGTTATAGAGGCCATGTATTATATGGCTCTCAAAGAACTAGACATCAAAGAAAGTCTTAGGGGGTCAGTTCATCAAGAAGATATAGCAATTGTAAGTATATATGCACACAACATTAGACCATCCAAATATACAAAGCAATTGTTAATAGATCTGAAGGGAGAAATAGACAGCGATACAATAATAATACGGGACTTCAGTACCCTACTTTCAACAATGAATAGACTGTCCAGGCAAAATCAAGAAGGAAACATTGAACTTGAATGACACTTTAGACCAAATGGACCTAAAAGATATATACAAAACAATCCATCCAACGGCAGCAGAATATATGTTCTTCTCAAGCATGCATGAAACATTATCTAGGATAAATCATATGTTAGGCCACAAAACAAGTCTTAACAAAGAAAGTTTTAAGAAGATTGAAATCATATTAAATTTCTTTTTTGTTTGTTTGTTTTTTGAGTTGGAGTCTCACTCTGTCACCCAGACTGGAGTGCAGTGGCCACTCCCGGCCACCTCAGCCTCGACCTGGTGGGCTCCGGCGATCCTTCCACCTCAGCCTTCCGAGTAGCTGGAACTACAGGCATGCGCTACCATGCCGGCTGATTTTTTGATTTATTGTAGAGATGAGGTCTCGCTGCCCAGGAGGGTCTCGAACCCGCGAGCTCAGGCAATCCACTCACCTCAGCCTCCCAAAGGCGTGGGATTACAGGCTGAGCCACTGAGCCCAACTAAATATCTTTTTTTAACCACAGTATAATTTATAGTTTATAAATCAATAACAAGAAGAAAACTGGAAAATTCACAGATATGTGGAAATTAAACAACATGCTCCTGAGCATTGGTCAAAGAAGAAATCTAAAAAGAAATTTAAAATGTATCTTGAGACAAACACAATGGAAACACAGCAAACCAAACCTGGGGGACACAGCAAAAGCATGTCTAAGGGGGAAGTTTGTAGTGATAAACGCCTACATTTAGGAAGAAGAAAGATCCCAAATAAACAACCTAATGTTATACCTCATGGAACTAGAAAAAGAAGACTAAACTACACCCAAAGTTAGCAGAAGAAAGGAAATAATAAGAATCTGAGCAGAAGTAAATCACATAGAGAACTGAAAAACTAAATAATAAATTCACAAAACTAAGAGTTTTGAAAAAATAAAATTGACACAGCCTTAACTAGACTAAGAAAAAAAAAGAAAGAAGACTCAACTAAACAAAATCAGAAATGAAAGTGAAGACATTACAATGGATGCCTCAGAAATAAGGATCATAAAGGACTATTATGGACAATTTTATGCCAACAGATTAGAAAACCTTGAGGAGACTGATAAATTCCTAGAAACTTATACCTACCAGTATTGAATCAGGAGGAAATAGAAAGCCTAAACAGACCAATAACAAATAGATTGAAGTAGTAATTAAGCTTTATTTATTTATTTATTATTATTATTTTTTGAGTTGAAGTCTCACTCGGTCGTCCAGACTGGAGTGCAGTGGCCGCTCCCGGCCACCGCAGCCTCGACCTGCTGGGCGTCAGCGATCCTTCCGCCTCAGCCTTCTGAGTAGCCGGAATTACAGGCATGCGCTACCATGCCTGGCTGATTTTTTGATTTATTGTAGAGATGAGGTCTCGCTGCCTGGGCGGGTCTTGAACCCGCAGGCTCAGGCAATCCACTCACCTCAGCCTCCCAAAGGTATGGGATTACAGGCTGAGCCACTGAGCCTGGCAAGCTTTTTTTTTTTTTCCCGCAAAGAAAAGCCCAGGAC